CTGATAAAATTCCGAGGTAAATCTGTCTGGCCCCGGGGTTTTGTTCTTGGGTAGTTTTTTGATTACCTCTTCAATTTCTTTGCTCGTAATTGGTTTGTTTAATTTTTGTGTTTCTTCTTTGGTCAGTCTTGGAAGGTTGTATTTTTCTAGGAAGTTGTCCATTTCTCCTAGGTTTTCCAGCTTGTTAGCATATAGGTTTTCATAGTATTCTCTAATAATTCTTTGTATTTCTGTGGGGGTCCGTCGTGATTTTTCCTTTCTCATTTCTGATTCTGTTTATGTGTGTTGATTCTCTTTTTCTCTTAATATGTTTGGCTAAAGGCTTATCTATTTTGTTTATTTTCTTGAAGAACCAGCTCTTGGTTTCATTGATTTTTTCTATTGTTTTATTCTTCTCAATTTTATTTATTTCTTCTCTCATCTTTATTATGTCCCTCCTTCTGCTGACTTTAGGCCTCATTTGTTCTTCTTTTTCCAGTTTCCATAATTGCAACATTAGACTATTCATTTGGGATTGTTCTTCCTTCTTTAAGTATGCCTGGATCGCTATATACTTTCCTCTTAAGACTGCTTTTGCTGTGTCCCACAAAAGTTGGGGCTTAGTGTTGTTGTTGTCATTTGTTTCTATATATTCCTTCATCTCTATTTTAATTTGGTTGTTGATCCATTGATTATTTAGGAGCATGTTGTTAAGCACCCATGTGTTTGTGGGCCTTTGTGCTTTCTTTGTACAATTTAGTTCTAGTTTTGTTCCTTTGTGGTCTGAAAAGTTGGTTGGTAGGATTTCAATCTTTTGAATTTACTGAGGCTCTTTTTGTGGCCTAGTATGTGGTCCATTCTGGAGAATGTTCCATGTGCACTTGAGAAGAATGTGTATCCTGTTGCTTTTGGGTGTAGAGTTCTATAGATGTCTATTAGGTCCATCTGTTCTAGTGTGTTGTTCTGTGCCTCTGTGTCCTTATTTATTTTCTGTCCGATGGATCTATCCTTTGGAGTGAGTGGTGTGTTGAAGTCTCCTAAAATAATGTATTGCATTCTATTTCGTCCTTTAGTTGTGTTTGTATTTGTTTCCCATATGTCGATGCTCCTGTGTTGGGTCCATATACATTTATAATAGTTATATCCTCTTGTTTGACTGAGCCCTTTATCATTATGTAATGTCCCTCTTCATCTCTTGTTACTTTCTTTGTTTTGAAGTCTATTTTGTCTGATACTAGTACTGCAACACCTGCTTTTTTTCTCCCTGTTGTTTGCATGAAATATCTTTTTCCATTCCTTGGCTTTTAGTCTGGGCATGTCTTTGGGTTTGAGGTGAGTCTCTTGTAAGCAGCATATAGATGGGTCTTGCTTTTTTATACATTCTATTACTCTGTGTCTTTTGATTGGTGCATTCAGTCCATTTGCATTTAGGGTGATTATTGAAAGATATGTATACTTATTGCCATTGCAGTCTTTAGATTCGCGGTTACCAAAGGTTCAAGGTTAGCTTCTTTAGTACCTTACTGTCAAACTTAACTCACTTATTGAGCTATTATAAACACTGTCTGGTGATTCTTTATTTCTCTCCCTTCTTATTCCTCCTCCTCCATTCTTTATATGTTGGTTGTTCTATTCTGTGCTCTTTTGTGTTTCCTTTAACTGCTTTTGTGGGTAGTTGATTTTATTTTTTGCCTTTAGTTAGTAATTGGTTGGTCTGCTTTCTTTGCTGTGTTTTTATTTTCTCTGGTGATATCTATTTAGTCTTAGGAGTGTTCCCATCTAGAGCAGTCCCTCTAACATACCCTGTAAAGGTGGTTTGTGGGAGGCAAATTCCCTCAACTTTTGCTTGTCTGGGAATTGTTTAATCCCTCCTTTATATTTAAATGATAATTATGCTGGATACAGTATTCTTGGTTCAAGGCCCTTCTGTTTCATTGCGTTAAATATATCATGCCATTCTCTTCTGGCCTGTAAGGTTTCTGTTGAGAAGTCTGATGATAGCCTGATGGGTTTTCCTTTGTAGGTGATCTTTTTTCTCTCTCTAGCTGCCTTTAATACTCTGTCCTTGTCCTTGATCTTTGCCATTTTAATTATTATGTGTCTTGGTGTTGTCCTCCTTGGGTCTCTTCTGTTGGGAGTTCTGTGTACTTCTGTGGTCTGAGCAATTACTTCCTCCTCCAGTTTGGGGAAGTTTTCAGCAATTATTTCTTCAAATACACTTTCTATCCCTTTTTCTCTCTCTTCTTCTTCTGGTACCCCTATAATGCGGATATTCTTCCATTTGGATTGGTCACACAGTTCTCTTAATATTGTTTCATTCCTGGAGGTCCTTTTATCTCTCTGTCACCTTCTCTGTGTTCCTGTTCTCTGATTTCTATCCCAGTAACGGCCTCTTGCACCTCATCCAGTCTGCTTTTAAGTCCTTCTCTAATCTCCTTCCGGACTTCATCTCTTAGCTCTTGCATATTTCTCTGAAGATCCATCAGCATGGTTTTGACCTTTATTTTGAATTCTTTTTCAGGGAGATTGGTTAGGTCTATCTCCTTCTCAGGGGTGGATGTCTGGGTTAGTCTGGTCTGGATCAAATTTTTCTGCCTTTTTGTGGCGATAGAGGTAGTTGTGCAGAGCTGGCGTGTGTGTCGGCCAGGAGAACATCCCTCCTTGCTGGTTTGTGGCCTTCCTCTTCTGGGAGAACAGCAACCTCTAGTGGCTTTGCTGGGCAGCTGCACGCAGACGGGGTGTCTGATTCTTGCCCGGCCGCTGTGGAAGGAGCTCTGCCTGATTGCTGTAGGCGTGGGAGAGCAGGCGGGAGGCTGTTTATTGCTGTGAGGGGCCTCTGAGCTGCGCTGCCACCCACTGGGTTGGGGTGCCTGGAGTTCCCTGGGATTCCCAGCTGCTGGGCTGATTGTGCTGGGGTGCTTCCATCCAGCTGTAGGGTCCCTGTTCCCTTAAGACTTTCAAAAAGCATTTGCTTTTCTTTGTCCCAGGGGCGCCGGCTGTGAGGACCTGCTCACAGGTCTTACTGTCCTATTTCCCTAGTATCCAGGACCCCACACGTACACTGTGTGTGCTTGGTCCGGATAGCTAGGGCTGGGTGATTAGCAGTCCTGGGCTCCCTCTCCCTCCCCACTCTGATCCTCTCCTCCCGCCGGGAGCTGGGGGGAGGGGCGCTCAGGTCCCACCAGGCCGTGGCTTGTATCTTACCCCCTTCATGAGGCACTGGGTACTCGCAGGTGTAGATGTAGCCTTTTGTCCTGTGTCTTCTGGTCTGTCTTTTAGGGATAGTTGTATTTGTTGTATTGTCAAAAATATATATAGTTTTGGGAGGAGATTTCCACTGCTCTACCACGCCGCCATGTTGGCTCCGCCCCCCCCTTTTATCTTTTAAACCATCTCACTGACCGGCTTCTTTGGCTTCTGAGGTTCATCAGAGGTGCCTGGAACTCATCAGAATGGTCTTCTGTCAGAGGACACGTGGCTGGCATGTCTTAGAGTTGGGCTATAAAAATACATGGAACCAGACGGAAATGTCTTTGAAAACCAGTCTGAAGTGGGAGCAAGGGCCTGAGGGGAGGGGAGGGTGAAGCCGTGAGGCCCCCCGGGAGCTTCCCTCTCTTCTTTCTCTCTGAGGCTTTCCTCCTTTTCCTCTTGGCTGGTAAGGTGGTGAAGGGTTGTGTCCCCAGTGGGGAAGACTCTTCTGGCCATTCCACATGTAATAGTTTTGTTCCCCTTGATTTGTGGCCAGACATGAGGATTTTTGCCTTGACCTGGGACCTGGGATTGACCTTGTATCTTCCTTGTTGTAAGGTGGAGAGGAGAGGCCCTGCGGCGCCCTGCCCACCAGCTCTCCCCCTGCCGAGGCCCAGGTGCGGGTGCGGCTCAGGGCAGTGGACCTGAGGTCAGGGACTGGTGCACTCCCAGGGGCAGGGCAGCAGTTTTGTCACCCCACTTCCCTCCTTTCTTTCTATTAAAAACTGAGGGTGAAGAGCTGGCAGTTCCGGACTGAGAGCACACATCCCTAGATGGTTTAAGACAGCACGGGGAGGTGCGCCCTCCGGGGTGCCTCTCTGCACCCTGGGTCAGGATGGAGGAGATGGGCTAGTGCAGTGACGGCTCACCAGGGGCCAGGGCAGGGGGTCTCTGCTGTTGTCACTGGTGAACAGGATCCATATGCCTTTCAGCATGCCAAGATCTAATAATACAGAAGAGAAGTATAGGGAAAAGCAAAAATGGGACATAGCTTATCCCCCCTTTAAAGCAATTAAAAATCATGGTATTTGGTTGGCAGAGAATAGCAGCTACCAGCAGTTGCCTTCTTTTTATATCATTACCAAATTCAAGTCATGGTCCTGAGATTTTTTTGTGAGCAACGGAAGTGGACCACCTTCCAGAAGTGGGCACACACAGGCCTCCTGTGCTGCACACTGGGGGACAGATGGTGCTAACCCGGAAAGCCAGCGCTCCTTGTCCTCCACAGGAGGGGCGGCTGCCCCACCCAATCACTGGATTGCTCCTGGCCTTGGGCACATAGCAGAAGGGGCTTCTTCAGTGGCTCTGGGTTTTTCTTTGGTTGAGTCAGGAATGAAATGATGGTGAGATGCTGCAGTCAGCCCTTGGGCATCTAGTTGTGAAGGTCTCTGCTTCCTGAGAGTGACAGCATCCTCTGTCTAGAGGCCAAGCCAGCTGTGGGTTGAGGGCAGGCTCTGGAGTGACAGGCTGGGGCCTGCACAGAGTCCTGTTCTTGCAGCCAGCCACCAGGCCTGCACATAGCTGCCTGCTGTCATGCCCACATGGCATTGCTTTTCCTGCAAAATGAAGGGAGTATATGGCCTTCCCACCTTCCAGTAGAGGAGATGTATAAACATTTCTGAAGCTCCTTTGAACTTTTTGGAAGGAAGAAAAAATTGGGTGTTGAACCCTGTTGAGCCCCATTAAATGTAGGTCTCTTGTAGAAGGAGAAAAAGTTGCTTACTTGGAGGCCAGTCTATAAAGTGCTTAGCATGTTATCTGTTGTATCCTAGGCATTTGAGCTGGCAACAGGAGATTATTTGTTTGAACCGCATTCTGGGGAAGACTATTCCAGAGACGAAGGTGAGTATGGTCTGCTAGTACCTTAGGCTGGGTCTCCCGAGGGTCCTGAACTTCTGGAGAGTATTGTGTTTTTGTACTGAAGTAGAGCTGTGTTTTGGTTTTCAAACACCAAATTTAGCTGCTTTTCCTTTGAGTTTGAAGCCCCCTCAGTCTTTGTGAATGGGCAGGGCCTCCTGGCACACACAGCTCAGGAGCCGTCAGCCTAGGGCTGCCTCCCAAGGGCCTGGGCACAGCTGGCTGGGAGAGGACAGGTGGTACGGACCCCAAAGCCTCTCTGTGGACCTTCTGTCCGCTGATCTGCCCATTTCTCTGTCCTGTTTGGGAGCTGGGTTGAAAACCCAGGAATCTGGCTTGAATTCCATCTGTAAACCTGACCATCTCCATGCTTATTTGCTTGTGATGCTGGGGTAGCCTGGGGTGTGCGGGCATCAGTCACTGTTAATGCTCCATAGGGTGCCTGAGGTCTGTCAGTCCCAGAAGCCTCTGCATGGATGTGCTGCAAACATTGTTGATTTGAATCTATTTCTGATTTTTTTAACTAATTTCAATTTTTTTCCCTCCTCTCTTTTATCCTATCCTTCCCTTTGCCCCTCCCATCCCGTATCCTTTTTTTCTCTCCTCCATAGACCACATAGCCCACATCATAGAGCTGCTAGGCAGTATCCCAAGGCACTTTGCTCTGTCTGGAAAATATTCTCGGGAATTCTTCAATCGCAGAGGTAGTACCTCTTCTTTTTGAAAAGCGCCACGATGCAGACAGAAATGGAACAGCAGCTGCTGATTGTAGCATTAATGGTGACAAAGGCATTTCTCCTAAATTCAAAAAGTAACACAGCAGAATTCCTGTGCTGATTTTAAAGTTGAGTGGGAAGACCACACCTGGCCCTGGGGTGCAGTCACCCTGTGCATCAGCTCCTCGGTGCGCTGGATAGCTGGGTGCCTGCAGTCTGGCTGCTCGGGCAAAGCCCGGGCTGTGGATTGTTCCAGCCGCGCTCTGTTTCTGTCTGCGCGGGCGGTGGCAGTGTCTGCATGCAGTGTACTGATTAAACTGTCGTGTGTTTCTGTTTTGCTGGCAATTTTCCCAATGCAGATCACATAGCATTGATCATTGAACTGCTGGGGAAAGTCCCTCGAAAATACGCTATGTTGGGAAAATATTCCAAGGAGTTTTTCACCAGAAAAGGTAACGGTATTTACACAACACTAATTTTCAGCATAACCCTCTCCCAAAAGCAGAAATTGTGCATTCGCGTTTGGGCAGTGGCGAAAGATCTGGACTTTCTACAGCTGAGGAAATCTGCTGAGGAAAGCTCTCAAGAAATAAACTTAAATCATCTAGTAACTGTGGAATAGAATTTTGTTAAGAGAACACCTCTCCTGAATCCTTTGTCTCCTCCACACGTCTCCTTCCTACTGTAAGCCCAATCTGTGTATTCATGTATTTATACAAAGAGTTGAAGTGATTTTAGAAATCAGCTCAATTTATCTTTACATTTTCCATGTTATTCCCGGAACCACAGTGTTTCTGCTGTGGGGCAGAGGTGGCCCAGGGCCTGGATGAAGTGCACTGTCCTTGGTGACTGTCTGAGCTATTCAGGTAGTGGTGTGGCCCGCAAAGCTCTGGGCCTCCATTTGTGCACTTCAGACCCTGCTTGCCTGTTGCATCGCCTCACACTGTCTTATGGGTGATGTGTTCTAATACTAGATTGATTGTTGATCTCCCTTGCTCTTCCTTCTCCTTGGCAGCCCCTGAATGACGGTCTCTTTGCCCTGTGTAGTCTCTAGTGAGCGACCAGTTTTTTAAAGCACCCAAAAGCCCCAGGGAATTGATTTTTTTTAAACCCCTCCCCAATGCCATATTCTTCTATGTGAGCATATTTGGTCTTCTTAATTCGCATTTTTCCTGCTTGGGGGTCTTTTGGGTTGTGAACTCTTTAATGAGAACTTTCAAAGTTAATGTGAGCACGACATGAAGTTTTAGAAATTTCTGAAAGCCCCCCATCCTCTGTCTTATTAGCTTGAACCAAATCTGGAGACTTTTATTTTCTTAAGAGAAGGAATTCTTGTAGAATAATAATTGTATGTTATATGCCCTGGTGCTCAGCTAATCAGTTCTTGTTTCAGCCTTAGTTGCATTTCCCTGTTAAATGCATGAGACCCCAGAGCTAACCACGCCGAAGACAGTGGTTCCCTGCTCCAGTTATGCTGAGCACACTGACCGTAACTCTCAGCTTTGCAGTGACCACCCAGTGGACAAACTGTGAAACGTGTCACTGGGCACAGTTATTTTCCCATTACCACTTCAAGGCTTATCACAGGGAGAAGATTGTCAGGGGACTGAAAACTGTCCTTCAGACAACCTGTAGTGATGCTGGTTCTGAGGATCTGGTCTTCGAGTCTGGGTCACATGAACAAGGTACAAAGCTCGCCTCCCCACACACAGGCCAAGGTAGCAGAGGGCAGAGAAATGGCTTTGCCGTTGAATCGTGTTCAGTGGCAGAGCTGGGGCTCATGCATGCTGCAGGGCTGAGACACATCACGTCGCTTCTGCACATCCGTTTTCTTATCTGTCAGTGATGGTGACTTGAGGGTGCTTCGATGTGACAAGGAAGTAAACAAGAGGTGCCTAAGCACATAGTAGTTGCTGTCATTATTACTGAAGCAAAGTTATAAGCAGGAAGATACTCTAACCATTGTGAACTTCTAGACAGCAGTATTACTGAGAGAGCAGATTGAATTTCCATTTTCTTAGAAAACTTCCAGAAAATGTTATTTGAAAATGGTTAAGCAAGGAGAAGCTCTGGATTATCATGGCTTGGGGAATTGTGTTTATTTCTTCTACATTTCAGACCCCTTTCTTCTACATTTCAGAATGTTTCCAGAGCCTGTGAGAGATGGTCTAGCCCCAGAAGACTAGGCTGGTAGATGACTGACAGTGACTCCCCAGCCATAGCCTTTACCATTGTCAGATGGCAGCATGGTGGAAGGGTGGCCAGGAGCTACCAGCCTGGTCTGTCATGAAACTCAGAAACAGTGTAGACCTGCTGATGTGGGAGGGGACATGGCGGCCTGAGATCATAGTACCCACTCCTCTGGCTGAGTGGAGAGCCTGCCAGAGGCCAAGGAGCAGGTCCCGGCACTGGGCAGTGGGGAGCTGAGGCACAGTGAGGGCCAGTTGCCAGTAAGGGCAGACTGGGGTGTCCTGTGGTTGTCTGCTTGCTTACCTGTCCTTGCAGCACATTGCCACATGGGTGGCGGGGCTGGGCTGCCCTCACCATCCCTTTGCAGTGGAAACTCTGTACTGTGCCCTGCGAGGAGGGAGAGGAAGTGGGCCAAAAGGAGACCCTGAGTGACGAGAAAGGAGGAGTCATGGAGGAGTTTGAAGTACCTCGGAGCAGCCAGGGCTCGGGTTTCTCACGGAGCGGCCGCTCTGAGGCTCCTGTGCTGTCTAGACTTTGCTGCTGGCCTGAGCCGCGGCCAGCAGGGGCAGCACCTGCTGAGTGCCATTCCCGAAACAGCAGCGGGCTGGGGGCTTCCACACCCACCTGGTTGGGCCCTCAGAGGATGGCTTGGTGAGTGAAGAGTGGGGCGCTGGTCTCAGGCTGGTGGTTCCAGCTCAGAGCTCCCTGCCCTTTGTGCTGGGAGGTGGCTTTTGCATGGCCTTCCCATGAGCAGCCGGGCTTCTGGGACCACCCGTGAGCTGTGTGCATGGCCAGCGCCCAGCTGGCACTGCCAGGTGCTGCGCACCACTGCCATCCCTGGATTCTGGGACTCGGGAACTCTTTCTGAGGAGCTTGTGTGAAAGTGACCTGCAGAGTTGAAGTGCATTTGGTGTCTGTGGTAAAGATAGATTTAAAAACATTCTGACGTGGGGTTACTTTGGTAACTGGAGTCCTTTTTCCCTTCCTTTGGATGTACGGGAGAATTATGACTAGGCCAGAAATCCCCTAATATGACTGGGAATTGGGACTTAGGTTCTTTCCTGATTATTGTTTGTTTATAACAGCTGTCAAGATGAGATGGGTTTTAGGGTTTTTACAGAAATCACAGAAATAATATGATGAATGAAGGTCTGTCATGAAAATAGATTTCATCGGGTCCCATAGGATGAGGGAAATGATTTATCACATGAAAGATGTGTGTTGGCATGCGTCCCAAAGTGATTTGTGCAATTATATACATTTTGGAAATAATGGGATCTTAAATGTATCCATTTAAATTTTTTTCCAAGATCCCTTGATGCCAGAACTGATGAAGAGAAAAGCAAAATTGAAAACTGCTATTAAATTGTTTATGTCACGTTGGCTTGGGGAATTGTGTTTATTTCTTCTACATTTCAGGACCCCTTTCTTCTACATTTCAGAATGTTTCCAGAGCCTGTGAGAGAGGCATGGCAGGTCATCCTGCTCTTTGTCGACCTGGGTGGGAAGCAGGCTGGGGAAGAAGGGTGGGGTCTCTGTGTTAAAGCTGAAAATCAAATGCTGCTAGATGACATCTTATGATTCAGGATAAAATGATTATTAGTAGTTTCAGTCACTTCTTGGTCAAAAGTTTAAAAATTGTCAGGGAAAGTAATTACTTTCTTACCCTGTAACAGTTTAATTTGCTGGATATGGACATTCACCACCAAAAATCGATAGAAATAAGCACCTGTGTGGATTTTGTCCCTGGCCTGTCTTGCTGATCTGTACATTTGTGTCCCACTAAAATTCCTGTGTTGAATTCCTGTCCCCTGAAGGTGGTGGTGTTAGGAGGTGGGGTCTCTGGGAGGTGATTAGGTCGCGGAGCCCCTGTGAGTGGATTAGGGTCCCGTGAGAGAGGCCCCACAGTGCCACCAGCCCCTTCCCCTGTGAGGAGGACGCGACAGAAGCTGCCCCCTGGAGGAGGGCCCGCCCATGCTGGCACCCTAATCGTGGACTTTTGAGTCTCCAGAACTGTCAGAAATAAATAGGCTATTTGTCAGCCCACAGTAGGTTGTGTTTTGTGATGAGCATCGGTGGACTCAGACCCATCCCCAGGAAGGGGGACCTCCAGCAGTGCCCCGGCCCTGAGGCCGGCAGCAGCCAGCAGCACAGCCACCTTTCCGTGTGCCGAAGACATTCTTTTGGCCCTTCAGCAGCTATCATGTTAGGAAAGTTGCTGTGTGGAGAATGGAAGTATCAGAGGAGATGGTTTACTTAAAAAAACAACTCTCTGGTTCTAGGTGAGGGAGGGTACTATGCATGTTGGAGTAAGTGTAGATGGTATTGTGGGTCAGACCTAAGGCCATCTAAAGTACAATTGAAAATTTCAGGGCATGCAAGAAACTTCTGTGTAGCAAAGGACTGTGTGTGCAGCATGAAATTTGCATTTCTCTCTGACAGGGATAGCTTTGGGATCATTGGTCTTCAGTGGTGGGTGGGGTGTGTGTGAGGAGACAGTGCCCGACAGGCTGAGAACTCAGAGAATGCAGGAGCTGAGTTTCCAGCTTCTTAATTTTAATGTTTGAGATGAAACTTGTTGGAATGATTTTAATTTATCTCCAGAACTACCTAAACGTAACAGTCTCTTCTTTTTGTGGAGTGTAGCCCTCTTGCTGGCATTTGACCTCTCCAGGCCGGGTGCTGCCCCTATTTGATTTTCTAGGCTTCAAGTTTAAAAGCTTTCCAGTCACAGCCGTTTCCCAGCTCAAAGGCAAGTGAGGGTAGGCAGATACCAGCGTGGGCACTGGGGCAGCTGGGAACCTGGGGAGGACGTGCCCAGGCCGCTCCTGAGGCCTCTGTGCATCGGTGCCAGCCCCACAGCCCATCTTTGTTTTGTTTGGAAGCCTTTGGAACTAGACGCAGGGTGACCGTGCAGCCGCAGCCCCAGGGATGGCCCTGGTCTAGGAGCTGTGCTCCCCAAAGTGTCCTCTTACCCTCTTCTAGGTCCCTGTCCAGAGGCCCATGACAGAGGCTCCCAGCTAGAATTGTGGGGGACAGAAGGATGTCCTCGCAGTGAGGCCATGCCCTGGAAACAGAGTGTAGTGATGCAAAACACATAGCAGAGACACTTTGGAAAATAACAAACCAGTGCCACAGCTGATTAGTTACAGTTTTTAATCATTTAATTTTGAATTTGAGCTTATGATGCAAATTGCATATATATGCAAGTATTTCTGTAGCAGTAAATTCTATCACAGTTCACTCCATTTATCCCTAAAGTTAATCTTTGGCTGTATGGTTTGTATCAGTTTTTCATACCAGCTTTATAGAGATGCAGTCCACATACCTTACAATTCACACCTTTTAAAGTGTTCAAGTGGTTAGTATATTCACATCATGGCTCCTTGTAGAATGTTTTCATCTCACAGAGAAACCCCGTGCGAGCTCATTAGCACCCACCTCCGTTCTCACCCTCCTCAGGCCCTGGGAGCCACTTATCTGCTGTCTGTCTCTCTGAATTTGCCTACTGGGGACATTGTTTATACGTCTGTGGTGGCTTCTTCATTGAGCCTAATGTTTTCAGGGCTCGTTGCCATGGCAGCAGGCTTGGTACTCCTTTCTTCTCCTGTATGGATAGTTGCCCCGTTTGCCCACTGACGGACATGTTGGTTGTTCCCACCTTGTGGCTGTTACGAATAATGCTGCTGTGAGCTTTAGTTTTTGTGTGGACCTATGTTTTCATTTCTCTTGCATGCATGTGTGTGATAGTTGAAGTATAGAAGTTTTTCATTTGATAAGGTCCAATTTTCTGCTTTTCCTTTTGTTACTTGTTTCTGGTACTTGTGCTTTTGATGTCATGCCTGAGAAACCATTGCCTCCTTCAGGGTCACAAAGACTCTTCTGTTTTCTTGTAAGAATTTTTAGTTTTAGCTTTTACACTTAGGTCTGTGATCCATTTTGAGTTAATTTTTTTTATATGTGGGAAGGTAGGGTTTCTACAGATTTTGGACTCAATTATTTACCTACATGCATGCAGTTTGTAGGAATTTGTTAAAATCTCTTGTGTTTTGTGTCTTGCTTTGTACCAGTGTTTATTGATAGGTTTCCTTTCTATGTGTATGTTTCTGAAATCCACCCTAATCTGTTTTATATCATAGTTTCTTTTCTAGTTGCCAGTATTCCCTGAAGTCCAGTACCAGCAACAGCCTTCACATTCCCTCCCCTGTGTGTGGTGGAAAACCACGTATGCTTGAATGTTGCATTTTGGAATATTACAGTTTCACGGACAAAATAATATATTTTACTTCACAAATCACTGAATATTCAAGAGAAATATAATGGGAGTGGCTTTTTCTTTCAGAAATACTGAGGTCATCCAGGACTGGCTAGCAGAGTCAGTCATAATGCCAGAGCCTTCAGTCTGAGCCCAGGGCGCGTCAGGAGACCCGAGGGGCTGTGGAGAGCAGGGCCGTCCACCTGGTGTTGCTGCGCGTGTTCACGCACCGGTGCCCGGGCAAGGTCGACTGATACTCAGTGTTCCTTCAGATGGAAAGGCTTAGAAATGGTTTTAAAAAGTAGACTGTCACCCAAAAAATTAAAAATACCTGGTTATCTGCAAAATATATTTCAGCAAATTCTATCTTTGGTAGTTATGTGTTCCTAGGAGAAAAAATTATCAAGGTAAAAATTGTTTAACTTGCTAGTGAGTTACTTTTACAATAAGAACAATCAAAAACTAAAAACAAAGTAAAAAAGTTGCTTTTAAAATGTTTTATTATTACTGTATTTTTTACAGTGAGTGGTGCGGGCGGGGGAGGCTGCCGCCGTGTGGTGCACACACGCAGGCCTGAGGCCCTTCTCGCGGGAGCCGGTGCCCGGCGCCTCTGGTGGGAGGCACGCGGATGTGGGTGCTTAGGGCGTTCGGAGGAAGTTTTATCAACTCTTCATAAGAGAATTTCTTACTTGAACATGAGAATTTGTACATACAATCATAGGGCCTTGGTGAGTTTATTTTTCTTGGCATGATGGTTTTTCCATCTGTCTACATAATCCCCGTGTTTGTTCTTTTAGAGGCAGTTCAGTGTGCTGTGAAGTTGTGACGCTACTCTGTATTCAGTAGCTACTGGCGCGTGGGCGTATTTTGCCTATTCGTATTTCCGCACCTGAGACAGTGCCGTGTTCTGGGTGGGGCCCCCGGCGCGGAAGCATCCTGACTATTTCTGGGGAGAGAGAACTTCGTTGTAGTTCCATCAGTCACAGCGCTTTTAGCCAGGCTGAGTACCTGGGTTCTCATAGCTTGCCAGCATGGTATTGTTTTCATCACTATTATTATGCAGATTCTAAGAAATCTGTGGCAGTAAAGCTTATCTCTTTTCATGGAAGATTGTACTTAATTTGAAGCCTGTTGACGGATTATAGTTAGTGTAAAAACTGGTACCCTCAGAAATGGCTCTGTTGTTTTGAGCAGCTCTGCTTCGCAGCAGTGTCATTCATCCGCAAAGCTGGGGAGAATGTATTCCAAGTCTGAATGGATGAATGTCAGTGCAGCGCTGTCTTCTTCCCAGAGAACTTGTAGCCTATGATGTGTGCACTTTCTTAGTTTGCTTTACTCTCGGTCTGGTGAGATCAGCAGTCACTATAAAATCAACAGAGCTGCATTAAAAAATCTGCAGAGAAACAACCTTATACCAAAACTGGTATTTGGGGGCACCTGCTTTCCATTTTATGGGCACTTTGAAAATCAGTCGTGTGGTCATATGTAGAGCATAGTTTTGACTTAATGTTCTTTTACTACCAAACATCTACCTAGTAATTTCCCACCATGTTATTAAGTACTATTACATAATGTTCATCAAGTGGATACACCATGGTTGTCTCTTTAACCAGCGTTCTAATATCACTGAGCATTTATGAGTTTGCAAGTATATACAGTTTTGCTGTGATCATATTTTGGGGTTGGGTGGTGGGTGCTAGGATTTATTTTCTCAGGCTCAATTCTTTGAATGGGGATTTCTGAGTAAAAGGGTATCCTCCAGTGGTAAAGAGCTTTAGGACTTAATAAACCCTCACTGACTTCTTACCAATTAAAAGCCTCTCATCAGAGTAAAAAGTAACCAAACCTGAACATACCAGTGATTGCACAGACTTTGCTTTCATGGGACATGGTGTTTCCTTCTCCTCTGAGAGGGCAGGTGCACTTCCCTGGGAAAGGCAGACCTGACCAGCAGGCTGGAAACAATGCTTAGCCCTCCCCCAGTCCTCACTTTGGAGCCAGAAGCCTATTTTCCCCAACATTTTTTTTAACAAGGAACAGTCCCTAATGATTTCTTTATTCAGAATCTGTGCACATCATGGTTACAGCTCTAGACACACCAGTTCTTAAGAATGAATACAAGCCAAAAGAAACAGTCACTGTGGGGTGGGAATACAGGCTGTTTCCTTTTTGTTTTTGTTAATCTTCTGTAATGTTCTTTTCTTTATGATTTAAATGCAAGTTCAGGTCCTGAATTAAGTTGCATAAATGGGTGAAACAGACTGGACCTCCTGAGGAGGCCTTTGTAAGCACAGACCTGATTCTCTGTTAACAGATACCATGAAAAAAAATACGCCTTGTTGGCTAAATTACAGCAGGGGATGGGGGAGAGAGGTTGGCCCCTGCCTGAAGTATGACCTTTAGGCACACGGATGCCTCTGCTGTGTGTGGGGCCAGGGTGCAGACGCAGGGACAGCACACTGAGGGCGCCCATGGACACCTGCCTGTGGGCAGTGGGGGTGGGGGGGTAGGGGGAAGTCCTGTGAAAATGTCCAATAGGCAGAAAAAATGTGTTGCTCATAATGTAAAGTGATCCTCCCCTTTTGGCTGTTTGACTTAATAGATTGTTTTCCTATTGTGAAGAATGCTATTACAGTTCATACACCACTTATTGGCTTGTCAGTCTGTTATGACTGTCAGGGCTGCTGGAAAACCATGCTTTATGTACTGCAATGAGCACTTTGAAAAGTTTTTATTTTCAAAAGTCATTAAGGTATACAAATTTATGTCCTGATGTCTTAGATTTTACAATGCCTGTGTAGAGATGAGTGGTGTTTGATTTGGGTGGGCCACTAAAGCTGTGCTGTCCAGTCCAGTAGCTCCTGGCTACTTACTGGTGGCTACTGAACCTTAAGCCAATTAAAACGAGAGCTTGAGTCTCCTAAGTGGCACTGACCACATTTCAAGTGCTGGCAGCTACCATATTGGACAGCACAGAGAAAGCCCCTGTCTGCCACTGCACGACATCCCCTGAATAAGACTGCTGTGGAGGAAAAGACTCCCTTCTGTTTGCACGGTAACATGCGGAAGTCATGGCCCAAGGACTTTAAATAGTGTGTATCTTCAAGCTTTTTCTAAACAAATTTGCAAATTGCAAAAAGAGATCCCAAGTTGGTGTGAGCACCTTCATCAGTCTTCACAAATGAAAACACACTGTGGGTGGACTCAGCACACTCTGCTTCCTAAAAGAGGCCTGGAACTGATGTGAATGAACCACTCCCTTTTCACTTCACCTCGGTTTACACTGGCCAAGCTTACTTGAAATACAACACAATCACGTCTCCATTTAATGGTTATTGCTTGGGAGGAGAGGCCGGCCTCTATGGTTGTGCAGCCTGAGCAGGTAGGTGTCCTCTTCCTCTAGAAGCCCTGGCTGGGCCAACACCGGGAAATGCATGCTTGGCGTCCTCCTGACCCTGCCTGCTTTTTCCCTGTAGGAGAACTGCGGCACATCACCAAGCTGAAGCCCTGGAGCCTCTTTGATGTCCTTGTGGAAAAGTACGGTTGGCCCCATGAAGATGCTGCACAGTTTACAGATTTCCTGATCCCGATGTTAGAAATGGTTCCAGAAAAACGAGCCTCAGCTGGCGAATGCCTTCGGCATCCTTGGTTGAATTCTTAGCAGATTCTCCAAGTAGTGCATTCTGAGCTAGCCAATGTTTTCCAGTACATTGGACCTAAACGGTGACTCTCATTCTTTAACAGGATTACAAGTGAGCTGGCTTCATCCTCAGACCTTTATTTTGCTTTGAGGTACTGTTGTTTGACATGTTGCTTTTTGTGCACTGTGGTCCTGGGGCAGGGTAGTCTTTTGTCTTCAGCTTAGTAGTTTACTGACCCACTTCTGGAAACAATAACATGTCTCTAAAGCATCATTTCTTGTGTTGTGTGACATTCAAATGTCAATTTTTTTGAATGAAAAATACTTTCCCCCTTGTGTTTTGGCAGGTTTTGTAATTATTTATGAAGATATATTTTAGCTGAGTACTATATAATTTACAGTTCTAAGAAATTATCGAGTTGGAACCAAGAAATATCAAGGAAATGTACCATTTTATCTTTTGGCAAAGGGGCCTCACTCCTGTATTATAGTGTATGTAAATGCACCCCAAAATGTTAATTCCCATGAAATGTGGGATGGGGACTCAAACTTAAAAAACGCTACCAAGTCTTGAGTGCTTTGTAGCATATGTTGCATGTAGCGGACTGTGACCGCTCCCAGGAGCTGTGCAGACTTTTCATTCCATTAACAGTCCTTACACATTGGATTTTAAACAAAGTGGCTCTGGGTTTGTCATTCCCTATCAGGCACTTTAAAGAAAGACATGCTTCTCATTCTAAAATTCATATTATAGTTTAGCACTCGCATTCATATTTTTGCATATTTTTAAAAGTACCTTTAAGGAAAAAGAGCAATTTCTCTTTCAAAATGTGATGGCCTGTACCATGTGGTGGTGCCTCCTCCAAGCACTGTAAGTTAAACTCTGCATCAATTAAATCAGACAAGAAAAACATGTTCAGTGTGTGGAATGAAAATATATATATATTTTCTTGGAAAAGCTGCTTGTGTTTGTCTAAAACCAAGGTATGGCATATGCAGTGTGCAGTGCAGTGGACGGTATACTCACTTCTCAGAGGTGCCAGCAACTGTGTCCATTCCAGAGGCAGTTCTGTGTGTGGCTATGACAGATACAGATCTGACTAGGTTTTCCCAGTGTCTTCCCATGCATTGAAGTTGAGAAAATGATTTTCCCTTTGCAGGTTGCACATGATTTTTTGTTTATGCATTTCCTTAAAATTATAGAATCCAGGACACAGACCATAGTAGGCAGTACAATTTTAGAATGTAACATATAGAGGTATATTTAACCTCTTTTAGAAGTCGATGGATTGAATGTCAGTTTTCTAAAAAATTTTACATTCATTAAGGTGCCTCGTTTCTCTTGACTTTGTCCATTAACATTTACCCATATGCCTTTGCAATAACTAGATTGTGAAAAGAACGTGTTGTAACAATAATCCATTGTTTGAGGTGCTTGCAGTTGTCTTAAAAATTAAAATGTTTTGTTTTCTTTCCCCAGACATTTCCTTGGTCATTAGCCTGTATGTGAAGTCATAGGATTAACAAACATTTGCTATCCTTTTAGTGTAGTGTAATCAAAACCAAAGGGAATAACCAACATTCCTATTGTAGGAAATGTGTAACATGCATTATAGCTTACTACAAGGAAATCATTGTTTGGGAAGGGTAGAATATAGATTTAGAAAGGATGCTGGAGCATAGATTTGTTCCCTAGAATTTCATTGATCCTTTTTCATCAAAAACATATGAATGACATTTTGTCTGAGCATTACCGTTTTTTTTTTCTTTTTTAGCAGTATTCACTGTGAGGAGGGAACAAGACACATAATCCTCTTAGGAGTTAGTATTATGTTAAACATTGCTGTGAAGTGCAGCACATCACTGATTTCTGAAATGTGCATGCTACATTTTTCCAGGGAGGCTATAGGTTACCTTGTAGGTTCTATTGACAGATGGTGGCTGTAGAACCAGTGGGTCTGTAAGAATTTTTACCAGGGTTATAGCACGCTTGAACGGAATTTGTCTGATACAGTTTTGGCTCATGTTAGAAAATAAGCTAGATTATTACAAATTTTGTAATGATCTATCCCTTATGATAAAATAGGCTAATGAGTTTACAGTGTAAAAATAAATTACTCTGGAAGTAATACACATTCAATTAGAAATGGTATGGTTTTTGGCAGATTCTTGGTGGCTTGATGCTAAGGAATGCACATAAGCTGAATGAGAACCACTGGTTATGCAAACACAAGAGCCAGCTCAGTAAATGTTGCTGAATGTCCTATCTTTTCCTTCTTCTAGTCCATGTGAAATCTTCATGGAAAATGGCAAGCAGTGGATTACATATGTGATTATAGCAGATCCAGAAGCTGGCTGTTTGGAAATTAGAACTGCCCAAAGGCAGAGAAAAAAATGGATGTAGGAGCTTCAAAAAAGCATAAACTTTTAGGTGAAAACTGATTTATTAAGTTGCTTCTTCCTATGCCTGGATCGTACATAACCAGGTAACAGGATAAACTACTGTTTCTACTGGGGTAGAGAACTTTTGTTTGTATCTATAGTTGAAATTATTTCTTAAATTTCACTTTTTTCTCCCAGTATTTTTTTTGTAACTTAATGAAATTTTGGTAGAGAACAGTATTTGATAGTGTGCGTGTCCTTCATCAGGAAGCCAAAGGATTACATAAAATTCTGCAGTTTACAGGAAAACTCTTGCAATACTGTACTTATATAGCAGGAGAATTTAAAGCTATGAGGGATCGAAATCCTTAGAGGATAGTCCTTTTAAAGAGGTGAATATTTATATTTTACTGTGTTAGTTAACTTTGGTCTGTGTTTACAACTGTGTGGATGGATGACGTGAAGCCTTTTCTTCTTGGACAAATATTTCTTTAGTGAATATCATAAGCAGAATTTTGTTTGATAAAGTCAAGGATGGCAAAGTTGACCTAAACTCTTCTAAAACATGAAGCTGAATAGGATTGAGCCCTTAATGCAGCTGTTAATGTACGATCATTTGCTAATTTCCAGAATATAAAACATGACTTATGTTACTGCCAAATCTTGTTCAGTCATTTTTAGGCTCTTTTTTCTCAATGCACAGAATTTGTATTGCTGTGCCAATTTATGTCAGGTAATTTGATGATAAAAAAGTGTTGGCTAATAATGTCATTACTATTGGTTATACTTAATCCTCCTGAGAGGTTTAAGAGAATTTATTTTACAAAATCATAACTAGTACTTTATATTTCAGCAATAAAATGTTCACTTGGAAAGGCCATTTCAGTTGAGAGACCTAAGAATAATGCCTTTTTCTTTTAGTTTTATACACCCAAAACAAATTTTTAAAATTTCCTACCACTTCTTAAAATGTTACGTGGCTAGACAGTGAATGTTAGTTTTCAAATAATTTTGATTAATTAGGACATTTCAGTCATGTTCTAAACTCTTTACAAGTTAGATATTGCTATGTTTTTAGGCCGGCTAGTCCATATTTGCAAACAGTTGTAAATTACGACCTGTGACTATCACGTGTAATGTGCTTTAATGGTATGGGTTCATTCTGTATGATGGTGGATCTCAGTAAATGTGTACAACACTTACCACAGCACAGTAGTTTCCTATGACTCCTGCAAAAATGACAGGTAGAACCAACCCCTTACTGCCTCCTGATGCTTGCTACCATCCAACTGAGGTAGCAGTGGCTAAAGAAAATGGAAGGTTCCTTACAAACTATATCTGAAAAATGTAACTTTTTGTAAAAATGCTTGCTTAAACAGACCCCAGTCTCAGAAGTTGTACAGGACAATTTAGTAAAACTTACATAATGGTGATTTATTAACATGAATTAAAATGCCCAACCAGTGCTTCAATGTGACAGTATATTTAAAATAAAAAAGAAATTAAAGGTCATATACTGTACTACTTTCACGAAGATCACACAGTTTTGCAAAGACTGGTTGTATGTACAATGCTATATATATCAAATGAGAAAAGCTGTAAGCACTTATATACGCAAAAGAAATGCAGTATTTACAGTTTGTCAGGAGACATTAAAAATTATCTATACATTAAATTACATTTTGCTTGCAAATAACCGATAAACCAAAATGGGCCATGTCCACACCAAACTATAAAAAAATCTGTATTGCATTTTTTAATTTTAACCTAAGATGTACTCACAGAACTGCTGACAGGAAAAAATGAAAATCCTCATAGTGCCATTACTTAGTTGTGTACTTAAATGCACATGTATAAAAAAATATAGAAAACATTCACTAAATGAATTTAACTGCAACAATAAAAATTTAAAGATCATGTAGCATCAAATCTTCTGCCAAAAAAAACAGCTGGAATGTTTACTTACAAAATAAAGATGCCTAATACTGGCTTAACAGCACATTTTTTTTTAAGGAATTTTAAAAAGCAAAAATGGGAAAAATACAATGAAAGAGCACTGGTTTTTCTTTTTTATACAAAGTTTCATGTACAAGCTTTAAAAAGTACCTTAACAGGTACATATGAAATATACAGTTTATCTTACAGAACATTTAAAAAAATGTTTCTGGAGTCCATTTTAATGCCACCCGGAACCATGGTAATTGTTCTGAAATGTTGGTGGCACCTGCGCTCTGTGAATCGGAATCTGTCCAGGCACCGGAGATGCCTGCTGAGGTCCTTGAACCCCAGGTGGCAGGGCCACAGAGCCAGGGTGAGGACAGAACCCTGAAGCAGTAGGTGTTGGAATACTGTTTGGTCCTTGGGGCTGGAGATGAGGACCTGCAACTGGTAGTGGACAATGTGGCCCTGTTCCGGAAGGCTGGTGTTGGGGACCCGGTCCCAAAGTGGTGTGATGTGTAGCTTGTGAGGGATACGGTGGTACGGCTGGGTGAGTACTTGAAGGGAAAAGTGGAGGTCCTTGATGCGGTGGATGGTGTAAGGCTTGAGCTGATGTGGTGTGATGCCCAGAAGCCAAAACACTAGAAGGAGGAGGAGGAGGTGGGGGTGGGGGTGCTGAGTTTACAACATGCTGGTGTTGTGCTTGTAGACCTTGGAGTCCTGTGGAAGGATGGGGCGGTGGGTGGTGATGTGGCGCAGGAACCGGAGGCGGAGGTGGGGGTGGCAGATGGTGTCCAGCAGTTTGAGAATGAATATGCGCCCCAGGGGTGACTGCATGAACAGGCCCTACCACGTGTGCTACAGAGTGTTGCTGATGGGAGCCTGGCTGTTGTACCAGGTGTGGTCCTGGCGCAGGGGGTGGTGGAGGTGGGGGTGGAACTACGGCAGCCGCAGTTTGATGGTGAATGGTAGGGCTCTGGGAAGGCAGGAAATGCCCTGGAGTAACGTGGTGTCCTGGAACTGCCTGCTGGCTTGTGGGGCCAGGAAGTGCTTGATTTGGTCCTGATGTAAACACAGTTTGCTGGGAAAGACTACCTTTAAGCTGATTATAATTCTGAAAGTTTGCAGAGGGCTGCTGGTTTTGATAATAAGATGAGGACGAAGGAGGTGGAGGGGGTGGCGGCGGTGGAGCCGTGCTATTGAGACTCGGTTGGTTAAACTGACTGTATGTTGCCGAAGATTGTCCTGAGGGTGTCTGTGTAAATAATGCTCCAGAAGTGGCCTGCTGACTATTCGCTTGAAGGTTCTGTGCTGCTGGGTAAAAATTTCTCTGAGGCTCTCGCTGAGGTGTTCCAACTTGAGGTGACTGGGCATGATGAGGCCTGTAGGGAGATCCTAACTGCTGTGAAGGCGGCTTTGGTGAAAGGTAACCATGCTGTACTGGCGTGTGAGGCGTCGATGACTTTGGAGGGTTTTCTACGTGAGGTGATGGGGGGCAGTGCGGCTTCAGTGGTGCAGAAGGCAGCTTTTGTGAAAGTTGCTCGGATGAACTGCGAACGAGTGGCTGAGGAGGAGGATTCTTTGAAAGTACCTGGGTATTACTTAAGAGCTGTTTTTGTGGGAGTTCTGTTTTCAGGTGAACACTATTCTCAGCTTCTGACACAATAACTGTTGCTTCCCAGTGGGAATCTGCTTTCATGAGCATTTTCCCATGTGGTTGAACAGGAATTACAGGTCCTGGTGAACCAGGCTATGAAAAGAAAACACATTATATAAACTATGTATTTATGTAAGCAAACATTCTATGTACATTGAGGTTTATTTTATTGGTGTTTCAAGGTGTTTGTTTAAATATTAATTTTAAAAAGGAGCAGGGAATAAGATAGGTTTGAGAAGTCAATTATGAAGGCTTGGAATAATGAAAAGCCAGTTTTCAGTAGCTCAATAAGTCCTGGTAATCACTTTAAACTGAATTCTCTGTAGTAGTTTTTTATGGACACAAGTGAAAGGAACCATGGTCTTTTTCCATTTATCTGCCCTTTTTTACCCTAAGCAGTGAACCCTGTTGTTGAGCCTTAATTCTGGAGGAACTCTAATGACCTTAAATACTTAGCAAGTCTCAATTCCACACAACAAATTTCTCCCCCCAACCTAATGAT